CTTCTAGACCAGGGCTCTATAATGGTTTTTGACCACATCTGTGACAAGAATTAACCAAGAAAATAAAACATAAGTAATTTGATTTTTAGACATAATAGCCATTCAGGATGTCAGTGTAACTTAACATAAACACTAATTCCTTCTAGCTTGTTAAATGTAAGCATTGCACTGCACACAAAACCTATACTCAACCTATCTTTATGTCATGTGAATGTGTAGATTCTTGAGCTAAACTGGCCAACATGTTGAGAGAGTGCTGCTGTGGAAAGGCAAAAACACTCATCCATGTCCAGAGTTGCTATTATAAGCTTAATAGTGCAGAGGCCATGTGCGTGCCAGGAAGACAGAGAGTTTCTTAATCCCACTCAAGTTTTAACATTTGCTACTTTCTATGGGTAGGTTGCTTCAGTACCAGAAATAGAAAGAAGAAATAGACTTAGACATACATAGACATAACTAGACAAGTGGAGAAAAGGTGAGTGAGGCATACGTAAAACTTAGAGTGGTGAAGAACAGAGAAGAAGATCCTATTTTGACAACATTATTTGAGTGTAAGATGTACATGTAAATACATGTCTATCGCTTTACCTCATGGCCACGAACATGATAGCACATGTCAAAAATGAATTCTGAAAGTTTGAGTTTTCATCCACAGGTACTTCATAGCATGAAATAAAACCATGTGTAGTGAATAAACGCAGTGCACTGATGGCAAAATTACATGAAGCTGGAGTTCTTTGTTCACAGTTAAACTAGCAGTATTATAAAACTAACAGCTGTATTAGTTGAGCTAATACGTTTTCAATACATAGCCATGCTATCAGCACTGTGAGACTGTACAAAGCACCACTGAAGTACAGTGATGCTTTGTACTGAATGGTAGCTGTCAACATGTTGACAATAACAATATTTAAAGAACCATCATGTAACTTTTCTACCTTAAACTAACAGCTTCATTATCATTTTGATGCTACACTGCGTTGTTATAGGGTGAATGGCCATTCCCAATTTATGCCCCATGTGCTTGTTCTTGCACTATTTTTGCACTACAAATTTAGGTGTAAAGCATGATGAACGTTACATCTCCACTTCCTCCCCCCGCTTCAAAAAATTGGCCCATGTCCCATCTGGTAACAGGGAGGCGGCAGGCTTTATGACCTATACTGCAGTCAGCCACCAAAGGGCAATCAATATACCTTTGGACAACTGTCAGACGTTGCCATCTGTGATGATGCTAGCATGGCTAAAAACCTTATTTATAGCGTGTAGTTTAAAAAGTATACTCCCTTTTTAAGTAACACAGGATCTATTGCATACAGCAGCCTGCAAACATACACACACACACACACACACACACACACTTGTCTATTTCCTTCTAACCTCCATAATTAAATCTCTATCATTTTTAATATGCTCCATCCTCTTAGCTAGTATCTCTCCACACCAGATAGACAAATTAGGGCCTTGATCATAAATACAGCAAAGCTGAACGATCCAGCGAGGAACAGGGGCCTGGGAGACAGCTGTGTAGTTTTTGCTCACACATCTTTAAAAATTCATGGCCCAGAAAACAGGCCACGGTTGTGGCAAGCAGAGAGTTTCTCTGATGCCATTCCCTGGGAGCAAAAATATTCAAAACCACTAAACAAACTATATGGTCAGCAAGATTCATATGCACCCACACAAAGGGGGAAACACAGGAATGGTATGAAAAGCTTTGAATAAATGTATTTCATTTGAAACAAGTTGTACACATATTCAAGAGAATATGGGAAAAGTAGAATATTTTTTATTTCTGAGGATATGTGCTCTATATTTGTTTAGTTATCACCTAAACATTAGTATGGCTACGTATAGAACATCTGGCAGTCGTCATGTGAAAGAAAATCACACAGCTGAAAGCATTTGATCATTTTCCTTCTTTTATTGGATACCAGTGTTCACCTTGTATATGGATTTGGTTGTTCATGGCTATTCTGAACTGCACATCTGATTTATTTTTAACATGCTCAGGCAGGGTTGTTCACATCAGATGACTTGAATGAGCAGAGGAGGTGAAGGTAGCGCAAACAGCAATGCCTCTAAAATGTTTTTTGTCGTTCATCTTTTTGCAACAATTCAGTCAGTCAAGGCAAATAAAGCACATTTACATCTTTTCATCAAGCTTGGCATATCATCAAATATTTAAATATGTCAGAAGATTGAGCCCTCTGGACTGGTACCGATTAAAAATGAGTCAAACAGTCTATACAAAAAATGATTATTTGTATTTGCTAATCACCACACTATGTCAATTAGTAATCATAGAACACTCTAACGTAAAATATAGCCTACTTAATGTTTAACTGTTTGTTTAGGAAAGCAAAAGCCACTATGTGTAGAATAAAATAATTCATGACTTGACGCCCCAAGTGGTAGACTTAAAAAAGACACCAATGTCTGTCACTGCCCCCTTCCGGTTCGATCCAAGTGACTGAAATGAACAGGCTGAAAGCAGCACAGACTGCACCAATATTCACCAGATTATCTTAGTTTTTACGAGCAAAAACATGCCATCAGAATCATTTGAACGATCGCATAAAAATACTACACATAATGGCTTTAACTTTTTTTTCTGTCTAAATATTCAGCAGTTTCATCAGATTAAAGCAAATGCTAAAAAACACTTTTTTTTAACTATTTGACACATTTTATATTGACTTTGTCGTGTGATTTGCGACACAGCATCCCCTTGTATTCTGTAGGCGAAGACATGACGGAAAATCTTCAAACGATTACACCTCTACATCTGAGACTCTGCTGTGTTAAACCTGCACTAAGATATCATCATGAATATCTTTCTGTTTTCCAACTAACATGACCAAGTAGTAGAAGACATTATCATCATGAGGTGAAAACACAGTGGTTGGTTTTACACTGCAATATGTAGAAGTTCAATGTCTTGCTTAAGGACACTGCAACCAATCAAATGGCTGCTATGGGGATCAAACATGTGACCTTTTCATGATCAGACTCTAACCAATTGGTCACCCTGCAGCCACACATACTTTGGCTTGATAAATGCGACCAGTTGGCAGGCACAGGAAAAGAAAATGGACGACAATACTGCCATTGTGTACGAGCCATGCAATATTTTGTTCTGTCTTTTTTCCTGCGGGCCTCGTATTAACGCAGCGGGAAATGCGCTTATTTGCTTTTTTGAGAGTTAGATGAGAGTATTGCCATCCGTTAATGGTTGAATGGGGATACATAATTTTAGACTTTAAAAATGTTATCGGACTGAATGGATCAAACTCTGATGGTGAAATGTAACCTAAAGGGGAAAATACTTTTTGGGCCAGTGTGCATCATGTGACGGATGCCGTTGCTGTAATTACACGGTTCTGGCCACTATGTCAAATTGGCATCAAAGCCCAACACTCTTCCTGGGGGCTTGACAGTCTGTCCAGGCTGTCCCTTGCAGGTGTTCGATGCATTTTTTAAAAGAATTGCTGGCAGTGAGGGAACTAGCAGAATTGAGGGGAGTAGCTACACTTTAATGAACTTTAGTGGTGCTGGTAGGCCAGCTGTTTTCCAGTCTTTCTGAAAAGCTATGCTAACTGGCTGTAGCTTCATACTTAAGACGGACAGACATGAGAGTGGTATCAATCATCTCATCAACTACTCAGCCAGAAAACAAACAAATGCATTTCCGAAAATGTCAAACTGTTCCTATAATTTGTATGAATATGCGACACAGCACAGAAAACCCAAGCATGGTTATGAAACAGTAGAGAACGTCTTCCTGTGTTTAACCACTTGATATGAAACCTGGGCTTGGAATGTAAAAAACCCTAACCCTTGGCAATGGTGATGATATTGTTCTTACATGTTCTTCCATACTAGATCAATAACAAAAACTGTTAAAAATGTATGATGTCATGAGTCAGCGCTTTAAATATCAACTTACGATATGTGAGCTGTGCTGGCTGTAGCAGGAAGAGCACAGTGCCAAAGATTCAGATGTTTTCTTTTTGCAACAGCTGCAGTTTATTTGGACCCGTTGGGCTCAATGAAGTCCATATGTAGCTTCTGAAAAAGTATACCTATAAAGAAGGATTGGAGATCTAAAACTAATTGGTCATTGTGTTAACAGACCAATATTTACAAGACAGATTCATCTCCCTTTTGATAAGAAATCTCAGCTCTTCAGTGGTTCGATTATCACTCAGATAGGATGGAATAAGGGCATGAATCAGAACATAATGGAAATAGATACAAATCTGTGTACCAAAAGCACATGTACATTAAAAACCATCATGCTTACTTAAAATTCACACTATGTCACATTTCATTCATTCACAATACTGGGCAGGAGAGGAAAAAATACAAAGGTGCAAATAAAAAAACATCACAATGAGTAAAACAAATTGGTCAAAGTGTTCATCAAGTTCAGTTTGGAGTATGGAGCAGCAACATGTGCATTTGGACTGGAAATTATTTGATTTCAGATCACTTCATTAACTTCATCCTACATGCAGCCATCTTTAAGTTCATTTTACATGATGTCAGGGGTCACTAACACACAAGCGACTGATCCACAGAGCCAGGTAGGCCAAGAAATCAAACACAATTAAGAGCATGATCAACATTAGAAATATCCCTCGTTTGAATGATCTTTCTGCCTTAATACATCTCAAAGGCACTGGACCTCATTCAGTTTAACAGACAAGAAGTTGGATAAAAGTATGAAGCACTAAGCTATCAACATGTTCTGTACCTTGAGGGAGTGTGGTACGCCCCATGCACTTTACATGCAGAGTCATCCATTGTTGCGGTACTGACAGTATGGCACGTTCACATTTATCACTCTTAAATAACATTTTAAAAGAAAGAACAATTTCAAATCAAGTACACTGTTTTTCCATCCGCAAGGCCTGCAAGTACAAAAAAAACAGTTGTGTCTGTAGTGTTTGGCTTCTAGATGAGCCCATCATTATTTTCCCTTGTGCATGAAAAAAAATGTCAAAAACAAAATCACAATTATGAAAAGGAGCACAGGACCAAGGCTCAGTAGTCCCTGCACTCCGATGCAAAATGGTAATGACAATAACTGCATGAATAAATCACACTTTAACCCTATATGGTGTCCAGCTAAAACAAAAACAAAAGTCACCCATTAAAATGCCACTTTCTGACAACGAGTCCTCAAGTTTTTTTTCTGTCACTACCACTCTTTATATCCATGCCCCCCTTTTGAGAGCTACAAGGAGAGCGTGTGAGTGAGTATCAAAGAGAACACTGTTCTCTTGGCTTGGCACTTGGCAAGTATAGTACAGTTACCAAGAGATGGCTTGGTAACTGCCCCTCTAAAGAAGCGGGTCAGTCTGTTTTTGTTGTTGTTGGTTTTTTTTTTAACCTAAGGAGCCTGCTAGTGAGTATCGTACCAAATAGTCAGTCGGTGATGATGTCCACTTTGAGGTGAAGTACCTATGCGTGATGTTTTTTGCAACAAATGTTAATTTCTGATTATATATGTCAATAACACTTTCTCCCTTCTCTTCATGGACACAAAATAATTCACATTAATCCCAAAAAACACATTTGGCAAACAAAAAACACTACGTGGACACCAGGGTGTACTCATTTTCCCTTTAACCTGAAAGGTTAAAATGCAACTTGGCTAAACATTCTAGGCTATATACTACTTAAGACTCCATTTCTAATGGCTCCTGCTTTGAACTTAAGCTCTATGTGGCACCAGAGAATGCCAATCAAGCGCTTGGTTGAAGAAAAGCTGAGAGAAATCCTTTCATACACATACCAGCAGGCTTTCACTCTTTCTCCCCCCTGCCAGTCTTTTTTTCCTTCCATTAAATTTCAGTCCCATTCAAGCTATTAGGTACCAGGACACCATTATCTCTCCCGTGTTCCTCTCATTTCGCCAGTCTTTCAGAGTGTTTTATTATTCCCTCTGGTCCTCCACTCCTTCTGTCTCTATTTAACAAAGACCCAGAGGGGGGTTTGGTCCAGCTGCCCCTTATGTCAGTCAGATACAGTAGTCAGCATACAAAACCCCCCCCCAAAAAACAACAACCATCCCCCACCCATCCAACCCCACGCACTCTCAACACCACTAGTCCCAGCTGAGGCTTTCACAAACACATCCATGCACACACACACATTTCAGAAACAAAGGGAGGAGACATGGCAAGTTTTGGGAATGTATGAATAATTTACATTGTGTGTGTATGGCTGCATGTGTCAGTGTGTGTATTCTATCCCTGATGTTGCCTGGGTGGAGGACATTCTCATGATAATTAGGGATTAGCTGTGGGGGACAGCAGGAGTGTGTATGGACACAGACGCGGTGCTGAAGTTCCTCAGGGGAAATATGCGCACCCATTTTTGTCATGACGACAACTTCCTGACACTTCACAGCCCAAATGTCTTCATCTGCTTCCTGTAGCCCACTGAACTTCAACTGACCGCTATCACTTCAACCCTAGCTCCCTCCTTCCTGAGGGGGGCAGTGGCCCACTCTTATGCGCAGTGTGCCGCTTTTGTGTAGGTTCCAAAGCTGGACAAACTCCTCAGGCATGGCGTGGAACCATTTATAGGGCAGGATGTTGTCGTAGTAATGGTGGCTGACCGGCTGCTCGTCCAGGCCAACGGAAAACGGCCAGAAGCCGTAGGCCGTCACTTCCTCGCACAGCCCCAAGGCCAAGCTGACCAGGAACAGCCCCGTGGAGAGGCGCTTGGCGTGCACGCTACGAGCTTTCCAGAATTTTCCAACCGTGCGCAGGAATTCAGGGTTGGCAAAAAGCATGGTGAGGTTGGAGGAGGTGTCTGCCAGGGCGTAGTACGCCCGCAGTGACGGGTCAGTGCCAGGCTTCATGGAGAACGCTGGCATGTAGATGTAGCTGGAGCCGTAGACCTTCATACTGTCCACAAAAGCTTTTCTCGACCACAGAAGGTTCTGAAATCTGAGAGCAATAAAGAGAAAGTTATTGTAAATGTTGTTTTCCTGTTTCTCTAGAAAGGAAATCCGTTTTTTCTTTTGTCTTGATAAAGTGGACATTAGACAGTTTAGAGAGAAAAGGCATGCTTCGTTCAATTTCGCTTTTTTTTTTACACAATCATCAGAATTTTAGGCCATAAATTGTCTTTAATATTATATTATATAATCTTTACATTTGACAAATCTTAAAATTGATTGGAATATAAAGTTTATGCAGGTTGCGTTAACTTCCTACCCATTCGCTTTTCCCATCTATATATGTAAGTTATCAATATTGTTCCCCAAGTGATGAATGTGCAAAGTTTTACTTAAGAACAGAATTGATTTTGATTTTGATTCTGATGTTCAAATACCAAGCTGATTACCTTTTCTCTATGATGCTGGGGTTGGCTGTGACCATATGTGTTCTGGTTCCCACGTCCTCCACATATTCTTTTGAAAGTGGTGGAAGGTTACACCTAAATAAACAAAACACACGATACATTTAACATTTCACATGCTCCAAATATAGACACACACCATACACACAGTGAACTGGTAATAGTGCCAATGATGATTTATATGTTACTCAAGACCTTATAGCATGAGTAATGTAAGGATGCATTAAGGATGGATGCATGGATTTGATTATGAGAGCGATGTAGTCTTGTGTAATAGAAAAAGGACGTCAAAGATCTTTAATTACTTAAGGAGGCTAAAGGAATGGGAGCTTTTGATTATATTACAGGCAGCAACAGGAGAGACACATTTGAACAACTTTTGGTTTGCCAAAGCTGGCAGAATGGTTCCCATAATTAAAGTCATCAATAACTGGAGTGACAATGTCCCTCTGTAATTACACCCTGTATTTCAGTTATTTCAAGTTATTTCACAGGACTCTTACTTTCTCTGTCATGACAAACAGTCTCCCAGCTTGACAATGACATTATCATGCTAAATTTATATTCCATGCAAGATAATGTGTTTGAGTAAACTACAATAATTAATAGAATTACGGAATAATTACCTCCAGCAAGCCACATGTAGTTTATCATCTTATGACATATCAGAGCTGCGTTGAGAGCAGACAGGCGTGTTTCTTGCTATATGTGGAATATGTGGTTGCACAGGGCCCCCAAGCTGCCATTTTTGCCATAGACAGTAGGCTTTTTTATTAGATCAAAATGAATTTTCTGTCACTCAGCACATGAGGGTGCTTGGCTACCAAGAGACATCAAAGAGATGCATTTGAGGGGAAAGAAGATCTCATCTAGGCTCTTTTCCACTTAAAGTGCACCAGATTAACGCATTTAAATGCTAAATTCATGCCCCTGGACCATATTGGAGGGTTTTGAATCAGCATTGTTTTACAAAATAGGGGCCACAAACAACATTTTGCACAGGGCCCCCAAAAAGCTAGAAACAGCCCTGTCAGCACATGCAGGAAATGAAGGACAGTCGGAAAGGAGTCTTTGTCTTTTTGAAGGCTGCCATTGCGTCCTTGCTATAATGTTTCCTCTGTCAGGGTGAGTCAGCCCTGCTTTGCTTCCAAAAGCTTGATAGGTTCCTACTTTACTTTAGGTTCACCTATCGCAGTAACCGTTCTGCTATCTTCTAGGGCGCTCCCTGACCAAAACAAACTACCAAAATTGTAGCAGTTTGGCAGAATTCAACATTCAACACACTTTCTTATCTCTACAGGGCAAAACATATGGTAATATGGACTGGCATCCTAGACTCAACTATTTAATAAACCAGACTTACTGGACAGTAAATTGCTTTTATTGGGTCAAGTCAGCCAAAATTCATCTCTACCTCCATCCATTATCCTGTTGCAGGGGCTAGAGCCACTAACCATTGGGTGAGGATTACACCTTGGGCATGTCACTATTGAAGCAATTTTGATTTTTCTAATCTGAACTGTCTTTGAACAGGAACCCAGAATTCCCTGAAAGAAACCCAAGCAGAGCTACATAAAAAGTTGCAATCTGAATCAGAACACACACATTCCTCTCATCTAGAGTGCTATCTGTGATTCCAAACATCCAATACTGGAACAAAACAAGAGTCTGTTCAAGCCTTACGCTGGAAATTCACAAGGAACAGTGAAAAAAAGGCATCCTAAGTGATAGTGATAATACTCAATATACTCATTATGGACTGAATGGTGTGAAGAACACAGAAAAAGCTTGGATCAGCAGCTGCAAGTTTCAAGTTTCAAGAGTATGATCTGACATTTTTCCATAATGAAACTATTTCTGACCGACAAGCCACAGTGTACTTGTTGTTGTGTTGTTTGCATCACACGTCAAAGTGACCAGTTTGACATAAACAAGAGCGCAGGGGGTTTTGCAACAGACCGATGTTGCTTATGCAAAGTAACCACTATGATATGATGATCCGTGTATTTTTCCGAGCTCTCAAGGTCTAACTTGAATCTAACAACAGTAGCTTCCACGCTAGCTCTCTCTATAACTTGTTCCCCTGCAACACTAGAGTAGTTGTCACATTCTGTATAGCATCTTCAGAGATGGTTTCTTCCTCTGTCAAATCCAAACAAAACCATCTCTTTAATTACTCGTTCCAAACAGAAAAACGCCTTTATCTCACATTCATAGTATGAAAATTATTCTCTTTGTGTGGAGTCAAAGTCGCATCAGGTTTTTTTTTTTTTCAGCAAGTGAACAAAGATCATTTAATGCCTTTTATTTTGCACTAC